ATCTATCTATCTATCTATCTATCTATCTATCTATCTATCTATCTATCATCTATCCTACCCTGTTCCAGCCTAAACTGATAGATTTTCCCAGTGTGCAAGAAACTCCAAATATGTAGGATTAGATCCAACGTTATCATTAATTATGCTTTGTGGGAAAAATCAATGATTACCCAAGTAGGTAAATGTGCAAGGTGGCAAAATACAACAATTTTATGTTGTCTTCTGCCACAAAATGGAATTACAACACACACTTCCCAAGTGGAAGTAGGGACAGATATCTTTATGCTTGGCTCTAAACAGAATATTTTGTGAAATTAACTTGTACAAGCAAAATCTAGACCTTAAACTGCAGAATTGATCAAGCATCAAGTTTCTAGTTATCTTGGTGCCTTTAAATCAACATTTGGCAACCCGGAGCTGTCCAGATATTGCTGAATTACAACTATAAGCATATCTCTGCATTTCCTGTGCTACCAATAGAAACCAAACTTTAGATGCGTGCAGGTAGTCCTCGACTTTACGACCGCAACCGACACTAGTATTTCTGTTGTTGAGCAAGGCAGTTAAGTAACTCGCACCCTATTTTACAACCTTTTTTTTTTTTTTGCCATGGTTGTTCAGCAAAATCACTTATGGTTAAGTCGACGATGCCTCTTTAAACAAATTTGGCTTCCTTGCCAGAAGCTGGCTGGGAAGTTTGTAAATGGGGATCACGTGATCCCAGAATGCTGCAGGCATTGCACATAGATCCCGGATGCCAAATTTTGACCATGGGACCTCGGGGATGGTACCTCAGTTATAAATGTGAGGACTGGTTGTAAGTCGCATCTTCAGCGCTGTTGTAACGGTTACTGAAAGAACGGTTGTAAGTTAAGGACTACCTGTACAAAGACTGGGTGAAACCAGGCTCAATAGCAGTAATTGTGAGAGAGATCTTAGAGTCTTAGTGGACAAGCAGCTAAATATGAACAAGCAAGTGTGTAGCAGCAGCCAAAAAAGCTAATGCAATCCTAAATTGCATTAACAGAGGGATACAATCGAGATCAAGTGAGGTACTAATACCACTCTATAAAGCCTTAGTAAGACCACATCTAGAGTACTGCATCCAGTTTCGGTCACCACATAATAAAAAAGATGTTGAGACTCTAGAAAAAGTACAGAGAAGAGCAACTAGGATGATTAGGGGTCTGGAGACTCAAACATACGAAGAACAGTTGCAGAAACTGGGCTTGGCTAGTCTAGTAAAGAGAAGGACCAGGGGAGAAATGATAGTAGTCTTCCAATATTTGAGGGGCTGCCACAGGGAGGAAGGGGGTCAAGCTATTTTCTAAAGCACCCGAAGGCCAGACAAGGAATAATGGATGGAAACTGAACAAGGAGAGATTTAATCTGGAAATAAGGAGAAACTCTCTGACAGTGAGAACAATCAACCAGTGGAACAACTTGCCTCCAGAAGTTGTAAATACTCCAACACTGAAAGTTTTGAAGAAGAGATTGGACAACCATTTGTCTGAAATGGTATAGAGTTTCATGCTTAAGCAGGGGGTTGGACTAGAACAGTGGTTGCCAACCAGTGGGCTGGGGACTACTGGTGGTCCGTGAGAAAATTTTGGTGGTCCACAGAGAAATGTCACCCCCAAAGCACCCCCCAAGCAATTAATTTTTATGGCCCATGGGAACCCAAGGCTTGCGTCGCTTGCATTGCAAACAACACGAGGTACTGAGGGGAGGGGGGAAAGGGCGGAGGCAGGGAACTTGCCCCACTCGCCCCATGGGCCTGGCCTGGCCACCGGGCTGCTTCTTTCCACTCCTTTCTTCTTCTGATTTTGGCTGCACGCAAGGAAAGCAGCAAAAGTCTTTCTTTCTCTCCCCCAAACTCTGCCAGAAACGAGTCTTTGGGACCCTGCAAGGCCTCATGCCCCAAGAGGCTGCGCCAGCACGACAAGTCTCACAAAGACTCATTTCCAGCAGAGTTTGGGAGAGAGAAAGAAAGACTTCTGCTGCTTCTGCTGCTTTCCTTGCATGAAGCCAAAAGTCTCTCCCCCTCTCCCCCGAGAACAAAGCTGGAGACGGTATCCCGCGATCCCAACTAAAGAATGATCGATCGGTAGGAAAACGGGGTGCAGACTTTTTTTTTCCTGCAGCCACCGTCAGTCAAAATTCATATTAGTGGCCCGCGGGATTTAAAATTATGAGATTGGTGGTCCCTGAGGTCCAAAAGGTTGGCGACCCCTGTCCTAGAAGACCTCCAAGGTCCCTTCCAACTCTATTATTCTATTCTAAGTCTACTTTGGAATCATTATTTGTAGATGCTTCTTATAGATGTCTTATCCCTTCCTTAAGTTGTCCCGTGTGTGCTTTCTCGGCAGTTCAGAGGAAGTTTGTGATATCTCCCCCCCCCCCCCTTCTGTAGAAAGTAGAGGCCTAGCAGCATTTCCAGCCTGTTTCCTTTTTCTCTGGAGAGGATCCAGCTTGGATTCGAGTCACTTCAAATATTAAAGAGTGTGGCATCTGCTTTCTTGGTGCGCATACTTCATGTACAAACAGTGTCTGGTTTTCCTTCACAGTGTCTGCCTGTTCAGCTTGTCGGAAGTTTTATTTTGACCCCCCCCCTTCCCAATTTTGATCTTAACAAATCCAAATCCATTTTTTTTAAAGAAAATGCAAGTTTCTGCCAGCTGTTTAAGAAACAGTAATCAACAGTGTTGATTACTTTTTAGCAAATGAATTCCTCCATATCAGAATAGCACGCTAAATAAACGTACTAACATTTTTATCCTTCATAAACTTTTTTTTTAAAAAAAAAAAGATCCAGAGCACTTTGACCAAGTGTCAGAGTAGAGCCAAGGGAGCTGAAATGGTCCTGCTGTCTTACATACAATACTATGGTTTATTTATTTTTTATATACCTTGCTATATCTGTTTGTGGAAAAGTTTACATTATTTGATGTTCCCTTTCCA